TCTCTTTCCCACAGTTATTATACAATCCAAAAAAATATTTATGACGAGAATTTCTTGAAACTTGGAATCAATACTCTTCAATACAATTAATTAAATACCAGCATTAGCATTTTTAGTTTTTTTTTGTAGATTTAGCGCGAGCGAAGCCGCGGGTTCTGCTAGTTAGTAATAATTTGATGACTGCATTTTTGAATGAATATGATTTTGACTCGCGCATCGAGGGTTCCGTACCGCCGAATATTGTGTTGTTTTTACTAATATATTTACACACAAAAATATTTTTAAGTTTTCGGATTACATACTTTATTATTTACAAAAATAAGTTCGCGTTTCGTAGCGTTCGCGTTCGCGTTATTTCTTAAAGATATTATGGAACACAAATTTAATATTAGTGATCGTAATTCAAAATATCCAGTATCTGAAACATTTATTACGTATTTTTTACTTTTTAAGTCACTTTAAAGTATAATTCTTATTTTGTTTAGCTTTCTGCCTGCGGCTACGCTCGCGTGGATTAATGAATTTGCTTAATTTTAATTTCCATTGAATTTATGTTGTCATATCGAATTTGTAATATTACCTACATACTCGTATGTATGTGTACATTTATGTTATCACTTTAGATTCACTTAGCTTAATCTATGCTACGAAGTCGCGAACTGAAAGTAATAATTTAATTAAGAACTTCTTCGTATACCACATTGGTAGATGTTCTGTCTGGTTCTAGTTTCTGCTAAATGTCCATGTGAGAAGCAATCTTCTCTTAAGTCTAACTACTATTTTTAAAGACTGGCTCTGAAAATTATTAATGGAACTACTAATTACATTAGATTAAATTTAAAGGTGTGGTCAGAGGTCATCAGTGATATTCGAAGTATGAATACTGATTCCCCTTGAGCATATCCAGGAAACGATCGAACAAAAAAACAAAAAAAACACACTTTCACATTTATAATATAAAGTGGGTATGGATTGTATGACGTTATGTTTTTAACTTACGTATACTAAATATATATATATATATATATATATATATATATATATATATATATATATATATATATATATATATATAAATACTAGCGACTCACCCTCGCTCCGCTCGGGTTCGTCCCTGGGGTGGGGTCTGGGAGGACCACCCTTATCCTTATCACTTAGGGGTATGAAAAATAGATAGTAGCCGATTCTCAGACCTACTGAATACGCATATAAAATTTGGTAAAAATCGGTAAAGCCGTTTCGGAGGAGTACGGTAACAAACATTGTGACATGGAAATTTTATATAAGTATAAGATATATAGTTAATATCGTCGTTCCAGTCAGGCGCATCCCTGGGCATCCCTATGTACAGTAACTTGTAATTCAGGTCGTTGTATATTCAAATTTAGGTGCCCCAGAGGATTAGATATTTTTTAATATTATAAAGAAAAATAAAAACCCCTAAAAATATATTTTATACATTGAAAATAAGTTTCTCATATTTTTTTCTAAATTACAATAAAAAGGATAAGGACAATACCTATATATTATTCATGCGTTTACTGAGTGAATAGTTACAGCAAAACAAATATTCACGTGAACCCACATAAAATTTTAGTCCATTTTTTTATATCCTTTATTATACAGAAATTTTCAATTACCTAGATACTGACAGAGTAGAGTATACAACTTGATTTTTTTTAAATCATCAAATGTTTAACATTTCATGATCTGTTTTATAATAAACAGTTTTAATACAGCCTAAAAGTCTTCTTTCTCAATAAGAGCTATTGCGAAAAAAGCCTTTTATGCTGCTATAATATGGATGCCTTATAGACAATGTCGTGGGACTTAAATGAGGTAACGTCTTCAAATTTAAATAAAGAAAAAGGGTCTAAATCATTAAAGAAGTTGCAAAATTTGATACCTAATTAATGTTTATTGCATTAAGATTTATATCATTTTATAGGCGGATTACTAGAATAAAGTCCTTGAATAATATATCTGTTTCCAAAATCTTAACTTAAATAATTTTCCCGTATTACGATGAACTCCGAAACAACTTGTCTTAACATATTTTATTAAATTTTTGATTTGTTTCATCTTAAAAAATTGGGTAATTTTTATCTCGATTATTTTCTTTTATTATTGTAAAATAAACGATATTCACAGCCGGAGAAGGATTCCGAAGAGAGAACCTGAGAAACGGCTAAACTAAGCTACAAATTGTACTGCCAAGCTAAAAAAATAATAAGTGCCCTAAGCTCCTTATAAGTCTGCTAGTCAGAATATAAAATAAAATGGCATACATACAGTTGGTAAAAGCTAGACCTGTCAATAGACTAGAAAAGAAAAATATAAGAGCCATAATTTTCAAGTTATTATTTTATGCGTTATTATGAATGGTTTTCTTTAATTACTTTCATACCTACTAAAGTGGGTTGACCATGGAAGGCCACCTTAACAAATAAATAGATAAAATTCTTTTATTTATTGGATAAATGAAACAAACAAATTATTAAGTAACACTTTGTTCTATTATGTAACTTATAAAACATTTTATTTTCTTGCAGAGTTAATGATTACTTATTTATTAAATTTAAGTTTTATTGAATTCTTCCAAAGTGGCCTTGCAAGAAACAGGGCTCCATACAAGGCCGATAAAACTCAATGTAAGTGTAAAACCTAAGAATGTGGTTTTTGGTCATCTGAACGCGGGCGGAGCCGTGGGCAATGCTAGCATTTTATAATCGGAAACATGGAAACTACACGAAAATTGTATATTTTATTATATTCTATATTGCACTTAAAATATGATACAGAAAAAAATAAAAGAGATCTCTTCCAGTCAACCCCTGGTTGTGGAAGAAGATGTCAGCGGGCAATATAGTGCAAAAAAATATACTAAAAGTAAATATATACTAGAAATAAAGGTAATAATAATCACATATATATGTATACATACATACATAGTACATACATACATATATACATATTCTATATATCTTTATATATATAATTCTTCTGTGAGTGTGTATGTCACTGAACTTCTCTCAAACGACTGGACCGATTTTGATGAAATTTTTTGTGTGTGTTCAAGGGGATCTGGGAATGGTTTAGATTCACAATTTGAATAATAATTTTCATCAAAAAAATTATTAAAAAAAGTTTGAAATTTTCAAATTAAAGACGTGTAGACAGGACAACGTCTGTCGGGTCCGCTAGTCTATACATATAATAACATTGTAACTAAGTCGAATCTGTACATTAAATATTTTTTGGAAAATCTAATTGAAATAGACATTATTATCGATACAGAGTCCGAATCTATAGTTTTTAGAATTTTTGTCTGTCTGTCTGTTACCGCATCACGAGAAAACCACTGGACAGATTTTGATGAAATTTGGTATGATGATAGCTTGATATCCGGGTCAACATATAGGATATTCTTTACCGCGGGAAAATATCTCATTTCTGAAAAAAAATACAAAAACTGCATTGTAAGAGAATACTAATATGTAAAACCTGAGGATTTGGTTTTTCGTCATCTGAACGCGAGCGGAGCCGCGGGCAATGCTAGTTACTTGTAAAAATATATAATACTATACATATATAATACCTAATGTAAAGACTCTACTTATACATATAAGTATACATATACATACTTAATATATAAAATATGAAAATAGAGAAAGGTACTGATTGATACTGTCTACATTTGTGATAGTAAATAATTTTTGAATTTACATTAAAAGATATGAATAGATGGGCTCTCATGAATGGTTTTGGGCAGTTGGTTCCATAGTACTGCGGCATGGACAGTAAAAGATTTTTTTTGAAATTTAGTTATTTAAACGTAGACTAAGATTTTTATATACGTAGGTATCTTGTTTTTTTAGTCTATTGCATCCCACGTAAACTCCGTTGACTTCGGTGATGTAAATTGTCACCATTAAGTCACAACACAATGAAGTAAGAATACATTCATGTTGAAGTAACTTTATGGAAGACTAGCTGTGGCCCACGGTTTCACCCGCGTTAAATTTGTTTGGTTATAAATATCAGTTTTACAAAAACTTATGGAAGTCTGCCCGATTTGTTGATATTTATGATTACTGCTCTGCTCCCTTGGGTAGTAGCATTACGATATATATCCTATAGCCTTCCACAATAAACGGGCTATGAGCTATCTAATGCAAAAAGAAATTTTCAAATCGGATTAGTAAAGAAGAAATTTTTCAAATTGGTATAGAACGAACGAACGAACGAACGAACGAACGAACGAACAAACAAACAAACAAACAAACAAACAAACAAACTCTGCCTCTTTATAATATTAGTAGGTAGGTATAGATTCCAAATTGGACAAGCAACATTTTTCATGTTTGACTTGTACAATATGTACTAGGAAAATAAAACTTCAACGTAATAATATTTACGAGTATATTATGAGTATGATATGAGATATGATTACGACGATATAATGCGTTTGCGAAATACATTAATTTTACACCATCGTCATAACAGCTGGTTCTTTAAATTTTTCCGTTTATGTAGGTAGTTATATTTCAAATGACTGGTATAAAATGGAAATCATTTTTCTATATTTTTGTATATCTACATCTAACTATACATATTATAAAACAAAGTACCCCGCTGTCTCTCTGTCTGTTTGTCTGAACCCGATAAACTCAAAAACTACCGAACACATTTTCGTACGGTTTTCCCAATGGATAAAGGCTGGACAGTCACTGACAGTGTGAGTGTGAAAATTTCAAAATCTATTGTTTAATTTTTTTTTTCAGTACTTACTACTTTGTCTACTTTTCTGTGGTTAGAACCACCACAGATATATCTCAACTGAAAACTAGTGAAAAGTCAATGTCCACAGATTAGGGAGACTTCATCAATTTCAATTGTCAAATGACAAATGTCAATTCTTCAAGATGTTAATGTTCTAAAAAATATTGTGAATTTAAATTAATATTAAGACTCTTTAAAATTACTCACTATTAATTAAAATGGCAAAATATCAAGGAAAAGTTTATCTTGGATATGAAGAAGAGATGATAACTGAAAGAAACAAGACCCAGTTGAACTATTCAATCAATAAGATTGGCGGCCTACCAGTAAGAAATAATATATATTATTAATAAAACCTTTTATGCTACCATTATATATGAGTACGTCCGTAATAATAAATATATATTTTTTAAATGTAGCTTAATTTAAAATTAGTAAGTATAACATATTTTAACTTTATAATATATTTACCAAAAAATGTATACTTTCGTATTTTATTTTGCAGAATTGGCCCGCTTTAGAAAATATCCAATTTTCAATTAAATGTCCATTGTGCAGCTTACACAGGTTATTAATAGTTCAATGTTATGCTCCATTGGAAGGATCTATTTATCATCGCACATTGTATGTGTTTGCTTGCATTAATCCTCTATGCTGGACTCAATCTGAAAGGTAATTAAGCAGTCTATTACATTTTATTACTACCTAAGATATATAGTAAATTAAAAATATTATATGTTTATTGTGAACTGAAAGAAACATTTCTTTATAGTTGGAGTTGTGTTAGGTGTCAAGTTCATGATGAACCAAGTAGAACTAACACAGTTGTGGCAATGCCCAGTGTTGACTCAAATATGAGCTGGTGTAAAGGATCAGATGATTGGGATGAAAATGATAATGGTGACTCATCAAATGGAAATATTATGAATATTGACAATGCCCCTAGTCCTAATAATGGCATACAAAGGTAATCTTATAAAATAAAAAATAGGTGGTTTTTAATTGGCTCTTAGCATATAAATTTTAAAAGAGAGACTAATTGTTTTTATAAAAAAATTACAGAAATTCTGATGAAGAAGATGAAAGTAATTCATATGATTTAGAAACAGTTGAACAAGCACTTGGAAACTTGCAAGTTGATGCACACAATGCCAATATGTCACCAGTTCAAGGTTTACATTTTAAATTAATACTTTAATGTGCTTTATAATGGCATTATTTACATAATAACACTTTTTATTTGAATCTCACAAAACAAGTTATCTACAATAATAAACAACTTTTTCTAGACCCCATAGTTATGATACCATACTTATATTGTTTTTACACATCAAAATATTTATTTGAAAATTTTTAGATTTTCTTAAGCTTGTTTGATTGTATGTAATTTAAATAAAAATAACAAATTTTAATAGGAGCTGTAGGCGCTGTAGCCGCACCAGTACCAGCAGCAGAATTAGAAGCTGAAGATGAATCTGGACTCGTCATTGCCGAAACTCCAACTGCACCAATGAACAATATGGCAATATTATTTAACCAGGTATTGCATCTTCCGTTACTAATAAGCTATGAGCTAAAATAAAAAAATGTGATTACCCAGCAGTATCTTCGTCTCCATGCCCATTTCCCAATCACTTGGGGTTGGCGGAGTACATCATTACCCAGCAGTATATATTTACAAATATATTTTTTTAAATTATACTGCAGACCTCACAAAAAAAATTACTATAAGATATTGTTGTTGTAAGAAAATAGCTACAACTATATATCTGTCAAAATTAAAGGTATAGCCTTGATGTATCACAGATGACACAGTAATATATTTATACTAGCGACTCACCCTCCCTCTCAGGTTTGTCCCTACTTACGTTTTAACTTTTAGTATAGATTTCTCAGAGATGAGATATTTTCCCACAACAAAAAGTATCCTATATGTTGACCCGGATAACCAGCTATCATCATACCAAATTTCATCAAAATCCCTCCAGTAGTTTTTCCGTGATGCGGTAACAGACAGACAGACAAAAATTCTAAAAACTGTAGATTCGGCCTCTGTATCGATAATAATGTCTATTTCAATAAGATTTTCCATAAAATATTTTATGTACAGATTCAGCTTAGTTACAATTTTATTATATGTATAGATAGTGTACAGATTCCAAATTATTCCATAGTGAAAAATTGAACAGACTTAATTCAAGTGCTTTGGGTTATTTTTGTTTACATATTTTTATCGATTATAGATATCAAAAGGCAGTGGTAGCCCAGTGGTGACGCGCTCCCATGAGTAACCGAGTGAAGCGGGTTCAAATCCCGGGTCTCGCACCTCTAATATTTTCATGTGCGAATCATTTTCAACATGATTACCACTTGCCTTACGGTGAAAGAAAACATCGTGAGGAAACCTGCATGTCTGAGAGAACCTAGCAAGTTTTCGAAAGACATGTGAAGTCCGCCAACCCGCACTTGGCCAGCGTGGTAGACTATGGCCTGATCCCCCTCATATTGAAGGGAGGCCCGTGCTCAGCAGTGGGACGTTAAGAAAGGCTGAATACAATAGATAGCATTGATCTGCATTATTTCAACTATTTTTCGTAGTCCCTGATGAGACCCCTTGGTTTAATGGACTAACAGATTGGTACAATTTTGCCAGGTGAATAAAAGATAATTAAACAAACCATCGCATTTTTAATCTATACTAATATTATAAAGAGATAAACTTTGTAATATTGTCAGTTTGTGACGTTGTATGGGGTAATCTCTGGATCGACTGAACCAATTTAGATGAAATTTGGTAAGAAAATAGTTTGAGACCCTGTGAAGGACATAGGATACTTTTTATCCCGGAAATCATCCCTTAAAGGGATGAAAATGGGGATGAAAGTTTGTATAGAGAATCAACCTAGGGATGAACCCGAGCGAAGTGAGGGTGAGTCGTTAGTATTAAATAAACATGAATAACACTAAAATTTCGCTCTATATTGTTATAAGACTGCAGAACTGCCGCCAGATATAAGAAGCCGCTTATTATGTGGACCATTGCAATTTGTATCAAAATACATTTATGTAGAAGAAGAATGGAATAAAATATCCAATGATGATGACAAGGTCACTGAATTACTTAACAAATACAAAAGGGATAATGGTAAGGAATTAATGTTTTTCTTTAACTGCTAATAATCCAGTTAAAGTGTTTTCCAATTATTTTTATTTTATTATTTTTCCAATAAATTTCTATTTGAAACCAAAGTGTCATATAAAATGTAGCTAATATTTATTTATAGTTAAAGTGAAAAGAAACACTGGTGATTGTAAAGTAGTCAAATATGGATTAACAAAAAAAATGGATACAATCATTACATGTCGGCTTTTTTCGGTTTTGTTTTGAATTTTTTTTCCCAACGTTTCGAATGTTTTACAACATTCGTGGTCACAGGAATGAAAATACAAAAGAGATATTTATTCTATGTTTACTTATTTAACAATGAAATAATAAAGAGATTTTCATCACTTTTTTAACCGATTTCCATAAAGGATGAGGTTCTATGTTCGTGTCTGTATGAAAATTCTTTTTTTGTTTCAAAGAATATATTTATAGTAGGAAAAATGGTTTTATGTAAAAGAGATAATATATATGTGAAATTGATTGCTATAATTGACAGAAATAGAAGTAGGCAGTGTAGCAGACAGAGTAGCCGGTGCAGGTAGTGAAGAAGAATCATACGAAGAGGCGGCACCATTGCATGGAGATAAACTATTCCATGCATTCCTCACACGCTTGCATAATAATCCTGGTCAGATATTAAGGTAAGATAAACTAAGTAAAGATAAAAATATTGTTTAGGCTACTTTAAATTTTTCTTAGATTTACGCAAATATTTGACATTTTAAATAAAATTATCTTTTAGGATTTTTTTGCGGCTTTATTTTGATTTTGGTTCCCCACGTTTCGAATGCTTTAGAGCAATAATTATGGTCATGGGAGAGAGCCCCGAGAGTCTTTAGTTTTTTAGCTTTGTAAAATTGTGGGTAGGCACTATCTGTAATCAGTTTAAAATGCCTTTGAGACGTCTAGCACTTAGTCTTTCGCGTGACCACGATTGCCTTTACGGCATTTGAAACGTCGGGAACCAAAAATCAAAATAAATCCGCGAAATAATCCGAAAAGATAGTTTTAATTAAAATATCAAATATTTGCGTAAATCTAAGAAAGTATTACTTTCAAATAATATTCTAAGAAATATTGTAATAACTTGAAATATAACTTATCATTTAACATTTAAAACTTTCAGATATACCAGAGATGAACCACCACTTCTAGGGGCTCCATTACCTACTACTGAAAATGCATCTGATTCTCCCTATAAGCCTACTATTTGTGTTCGCTGTGGTTCTAGACTCATATGTGAATTACAACTTGTACCGGCGTTCACGGAAACATTACGCTTATACCCAAATAACACACAATTATCTCATTTACACTTTCTATCAGTTCTCATTTTCACATGCTCTCAAAGTTGCTGGCAACCCACTGACAAATTGGTTGAGGAAATGGTAATTTTTCAACCTGAAGTCATTTAAAAAGCATTATTACTCTCTGAAAGCCAAATCTTAATATAATCTCAAGTTGAAAATCTTATTGCTTTTCCATCAACATTCAATACAAAATGTAGCTGTAGCAGACAATAACCTGGTTACCACAAGAGGAGGTTAAAGTTAAATTTTTTATCTCTTTATTCCACACTGGATGTCCTCTCAAATTACTGTTTTACTTGGATAAGTATTATTTTTAGAAGCTTGGTAGAAAGTTTAAAAATAGAATCTTCGTTTGACCGATTTTAAATAGAACGATATTTTTTTATGAAACATAAATTACATTTAAATGTACTCGTTAGTAATTTTAACACAGATATACATGTATTATTTATATTTTTACAGATTGCACTTATCACTTATAATTAATTACCGATATATTTTTACAAACACTGCAATGTAAACAAATTTTACACATTATTGGCATTTATTTTTTAATAGTCATAAATATTACCTATTTTTTTATAATAGAGTTAATGCTTAAATATTTGCATATGTAATACATTGACTAATAAAATAAATACCAGCTAATGATAAGAATTCTCTTCTCTTGGTCATTTGCGTCAACTCTTCCTGTGATTACCACTTTAAAATAAAATTACACATACACAGGTTCATATTAGTACCTATGTAACATGAAAAAACGACATTGTTGTTTTTTCACTATGTTAAAAAAAACACAAAAAAACAACGTGTGTGTGTACTTACTGATGTTAACTTTGAATTCTATACTCTTAAAAAACATGCTCCAGTAAAATACATTTTTCTTTTTAATTTTTTTTTCACGATAGAAAAAAAACAGTTGTTTTTGCAACACTAGTCCCTATTTAAAAATTCTTAAAGATGACTCTTATAAAAATATAAATGCAGTAGTAAATATTTAACGTCCTTTATATTAAGCCTTATTATGATGTTCATGTAGTTTGTAGAATACTATTTTTCTGTTGATTGATGCTGTTGCATGTGTATTTTTTAACAATTTTAACTGTGATTTCAATATTCTTGTTGTAGTAGTACATAGTAGGTACTGTGGTAGACATGATTAAAGATCATGATGCAGTAGCTGATTTAGGCATAGGCCAGGCCCGGGCGGGCCTAGAGCGGCAAATTTTGATGGGCGCAAAAAAAATTAAGACGACTAAAATTACAAATCGATTGGGTTTTCTGTAAACTGCAAGAACAAATTTTAAAGTTTATTTTCTTGCGCTCTTACAATCTGAACATAGTATCATTTCAAGGGCAGCATTTCTTTGTTAAAATAATTAATCTATATATACTGTTACGAAAGAAAAAGGGCGTCATATCGATTTAGGCCTAAGGCGAACCTAAATCCACTACTGTCATGATGATTTTAAACATTTACATATAAGAGTGAAATGATAAATATCATAAAGGTTTGATCCACTATGGAATAGCAAGGTAATGGTAATTAAATGGACTGTTGGAACGCATTTAATATGTATATTAACTTAGTTTAAGTATCGTCCATCGATTTTAGGATAAGGAAAATGATGTTTAACTTCAAACATGTATGCTATTTTGACATCCTAAAAAAAGATGTTCGTTATTTATTTCACGCACCATAACTATTACGTTTAAATAAGTACAAAATAATTTAAATCTTACTTCTTACTCACTCGCTGGAAATAGCATAAAATTAAGATTTTAACCTACAATTACTATTGTAGTTATTGTTTTAACTGTTTCGTGCAATAAATTAAAAATAATAAAATATTCTTGTTTTATTTAAATACTTTTATTTACACTAAGTTTAATATAGCATTAATTTAATACTGAAAATATAACAGGTTAGTTACATTATTATTATACTAGTGACTCACCCTCGCTTCGTTCAGGTTCGTCCTTAGGTACGTATTAACGGTTAGTATGGAATAGATAGACTATACATTATAATATGATCTATATACCCTTCCTCAATAATCGGGCTATCTAATGCAAAAAGAATTTTTCAAACCGGATAAGTAGTCCCTGAGATTAGCGCGTTCAATCAAAAATACAATCAAACGGACTCTGCCTCTTTAAAATATTAGTATAAAAATATGTCAATTCATATTATAGTTAACTAACTATTCGACGTTTTAGGAGTCCAATAATCTGTGTATATGTGAAGGAAATTATTTATGTTCATCAAAAGAGAAAAACATTAACTTCTAAACATATAATAAAATTCTAACCAAGTCGAATCTGTACATTAAATATTTTTTGGAAAATCTTATTGAAATAGTCATTATTAACGATAAGGGAGCCAAATCTATAGCTTTTAGAATTTATGTCTGTCTGTTACCACATCTCAAAAACCACTGGAGGGATTTTGATGAATTTTGGTATGGTGATAGCTGTTTATCCGGGTCAACATATAGGATACTTTTTACCGCGGGAAAATATCTCATTTTTGAGAAAAAATACAAAAACTGCAATGTAAGAGTATTGTACTAATATGTAAAACCTAAGAATTTGGTTTTTGATCATCTGAACGCGGGCGGAGCCGCGAGCAATGCTAGTCAAATATAAAAACATCAAGTTAACCCATTTTATTAGTTTTTTGACAGCTCGACGACTGACAAGTTATAGTGATGTCCTAAAGGACGTAATAATCGATATCGATAAAGAAAAATATTAACGGAACGCACTGATATTGCTTTGAGTCACAAGGTGACACAAGTCACAAGGTGACTTTTTAAGGCAAAAATACTTCAAGATTGGACAAATATTGTCTTTACGGATGAAACATGGCTCAACGCTAACCACACCGTATCCCGATCCTGGACTGACGACACTCCTGCTTCCACCTCCGCAGTACCAATTGGAAAAGGCGAACGCCTCATCATCTGCCACGCAGGAATTGCAAAAGGTTTTGTACAAGACGCACTGCTGGCATTTAAATCAAAGAAATCTGGCGATTACCACGAAGAAATGAATGCGGAGGTGTATGAAGAGTGGTTCAAGAACATGCTTCTATCATTGGAAGAACCATCAATAATTTTTATTGATAATGCACCCTACCACTCTCGCCAAATTGATAAAATGCCAAAGCAAGCCAATAAAAACATGAAATTATTAATTGGCTACGCGAACATGGAAAAAATGTGGACGATTCCAGATAAAAATATGAAAAACCAAAAAGAAACCAAAACGGTATGCGATCGATGAAATGGCAGCAGAATATGGTCATATCATCCTTAAGATTCCTACATATCACTGCCAATACAACGTCATAGAACTTATATGGGCACAAGTAAAAGGGCATGCTGCAAGAAACAATACTCAATGCATTACTCAAAAACGCTTGCACCCACGTGATGGCCGAGAACTGAGCAAGTGTGGTGGAAAGAACTAAGAGAGTCATAATGTCTGATTGGGACCGTGACATTGCATTTGATAATTTATGCACACATGAGCTAATCAATAATATTACTGAAGACTCCTCATCGGACGAATCTAGTATAAATGATGATTGTGACGACTCATGTTGATAAGAGGAATTAAACTATTTTAGTTGTTTTATTTGTATGTCTTATACTAAGAAGAAAGTAAAACTTTATATAATGTTAATATTTTAATTTATTGGGATCAACCTTAAAAATTTGTTGTCTTCCTGATTAAATAACATACTACACCTTTTTTTGTATAGTTGGGAAATCCTATTACGGATACCACCCGACTTCCCCCGGGGTGGTTATGTGGAGACTCTCCGGCTAATGAGACCGGCATACCCACTAAAACCCAACTTCCCCTCCCTGCCGCCATGTGGGACGCCACGGGATCGCTTTCGCATACAACCGCGACGCCCCGACGGTTGGCCGAATCCACCAAGCATCCGCAGGGGTGTTGTAGTGAATGCGCAAGCCTGCACACCCCATTGCACTGCGGCGACGGGTTCCGCTGTGGGTATTAGTGAGTAGGAGTCTCACAGTACCCTACCCATTGACGGCCGATAGGGTCCCCATGATGTGTTTCCCTAGCGATAAGAAAAAAAAATTAGCATTTATTGCTATCGATTATTTGTAATCTGTGGCACAATCGTAGTAATCGTTATGTGTGGCACGTCACTAAGGGGGCGGTACCCGTTCACGCACTACAATATTATTTGTATGAAATTTTAACTTAAACAATACGAAACTTCATGGGCGTGAGCTGTCAAAAAAGTATTAATAAAATGGACAAACTATAGCTTAGGAGATTAATATTGAGCCCTCTCTAGTCCCAGTCCAGTCCAGTCCAGTCCCCCTCCTATGCGTATCCGATCCGTCCCACATAACCACCAGTATGTATGCAGGTGGTATGCCTAAAGGCATTTCCAATGTTAAAAAAAGGAGTTTAATGTTGATAGGAGTAAGGAGTTCTACATTGTCCAAGAGTACAATTAATTAATTAAAATTTACATTCATTATATACAATTGACAAATAAAACTTCTGGAAATCGAGTGCTAATATTCCAGAGTCCAAATCATGGATGACAAATAAAAGTCCAAAAAAAAAATGTAAATGTAGTTAGCTACATTTTAAAAGCAATGATTTTGTATTCTAAAACTGATGTTGCCTTAAACAATAAATATTTACGCTTAGTAGAAATTGGAACTAAAAATGACAAAATAAATATAAGTAGTAAATAACTTTACATGTTTTATAAATTAACATATTTAGTAATATATATTTATTCATGTTTTTATATATTTTATACCACAACGAGCGCCGAAATAAAATCTTATTAAATAGAAAAAAATGTCATAGTAAATTTTTACTCTTTTTCTTATGGTAACCCAATATTCCATAAATGAATCGGCGAGTCGGCAAATGGTGCTTCGAATTTCAACAATCGCAAATTGATTTGTGGGCCTGTTTGCGTTTGATCAATTTCCTCACGTGGTTGAACATTTTGTGTAGTTTTAATTAACACGATACTATAAAAGATGTCTGGTGAAGTTCCCGTACCGCCTCCCGTATTATGGGCACAACGCAAGGAGGACGTTTTTCTCACATTTAGCGTTGAATCTAAAGATCCGTCTATTAAAATAGAAAAAGACTCTGTATATTTTAAAGGCATCAGTGCACCGGACAACAAAGCCCACGAGGTAACTATACAATTATATGACGCTGTAGTTCCGGAAACTAGCGGCTTCGTTAATAAGGGTCGTTGCATAGAAATGGTGCTGCGGAAAGAAAAGAAAGACGCTCCGTATTGGCCATCATTAACGAAAGACAAAAAGAAACCACATTACCTTAAAATAGATTTTAATAAGTGGAAAGATGAAGATGATGAAGACGAAGATGGTGGTGGCAATAACTATGATATTGAAGAAATGCTTCGGTCAATGGGAGGAGGTGCCGGCGATAAGGGTGATAAACCTTCATTCGATGACCTCGAAAGTGATTCAGATGACGAAAACTTACCTGATCTTGAATGAGGCCCAAAGTAGTTTTATGGTTTACTTATGTTTAAAAATGCAGTACATAATGTATATTAAGGTTTTTACAGTTATAATAAAATCATAAAAAAAAATTGTTCTTTCATTTCATATCAAGTATGTATTTTTTATAATAAGTATTTAATATAAATTATGTTATTAACAAAATCTTTTATTACTGTATTTTTAGGTTAGGATGTTCAATCATCATTAAATAAGTAAAAGAAATGAGTATTGTTTATGATTTTTGCACTAATAACATTTAGATAACAAATTTCATGGAATAGAGAGAGCATTCATTAGACAGAATTAATCAAAATAAACATGTAATATTTAATTAATATTGGATATGACAAGATTAGTGCCTTATATGCTTACTTGCAAATCTACATTTTCAGGGTTCCATAGTTGAGAAGGAACTCTTATTTAAATCTATTAATATGTTGGGATACTAACACATCATCATCTAGTTCCATAGTAGGCTAGAAGGCTTGTGTTATGGATACCAGATAGTTGATACACTACAGATACATAACTTTAAATACATATATATTATAAACACCTATGACTAGAGTACAAACATTCATGCTCATCACAAATGAATGCCCCCAGCGGGACTCGAACCCGCGACAGCTGGCACAGCAAGTAGGGTCACTACAAACTGAGCCAAATGTGTTGTCTGGTTTTATTCATAACTTTATTTACATATGCTAGGTGAACAGCAATAAAATTGTGCTCAAGAATTTCTTTTTCTAATGTGCACTAAAAAGAGTTTTTTTTTATTCAACTCCTAATAAGGGGTTAAAACTTATAATAATCAAGATATTTATATTGATTTGACTAACTGCTCCATCAGTGTTTAAATTTTTCTTTAAACAAATCTTGAATATTCTGTAATACTATAGGATATATAAATTAATATTCATTTTTTATTAATCTTAACAATATTAAAATATAAATGTAATACCTTAAAAGATAATCATATTTATTTTTAATTTAATATACAAAAGACCAATACATATTATAGACATTAGAGTTAATTTTCTACAATTTTTATTGGTTACTTTAATATTACTGTCCAGCTTAAAAATATTTTTCATTTTAACTAGTTTCTTTAAGCATGTTGTTAACACTACGCTAAAACAAAAATTAAACCTACTAGTTTAATAAGTAGTACCTGGGCTACCGAGCTTCGCTCGGAGTTTTTGGTTAACGAGTATAATTTTCTTTAAAAAAAAACTAAAAACTTGAATAAATGAAAAAAGAAACAAAAAAAATTATACCTTTGTATCCGATTGGGATTCGAACCCGGACACCTATGATTGTCAATCTTGCGTCTTTTTAAAAAAAAACTAAAAACTTGAATAAATATTAAAAAATAAATAAAAGTAAAAACTTTGTATGCGACCGAGATTCGAACCTGGACACCTGTGATAGTTGATCTTGCACCTTGGCCGCTTGAACACGATGCTTATACCCGTGCGTGCATATTACCGACTACATTTTACGTGGAATAATGCAAAAGAAAACTGCATGAAAATTCGAAAACACGCTTTTTCCCAGACATAAGACCAATCTAGATCGATTTATCACCCCCGAAACCCCATGTGTACTAAATTTCATGAAAATCGTTGAAGACGTTTCCGAGATTTATTCCGATTATAATTCCGACTGTATATATATATATATATACACAATAGCGAGCAAGTCTTGTGTATATATATATATATATATATATATATATATATATATATATATATATATATACAAGACTTGCTCGTTTAAATATATTAGATATCAATTTGTAGGTAGGTACTTTAAAAAATAATCACAAACATGTTAATCTTACAATGACTTTATAAGGTTTATATTGTATAATGTTATAAACTCCTTTTATATAAAATTTCTTGTCCCACTGAGTATTCTAAATATTTTGTTTAAACTTTACTCCATTTTTATTACACATTTCTAAAAGATAATATATGTACATATTATAATGTATCTGATTACTAGCGACACACCCTCACTCCGCTCGGATTCGCTTCTAGTTACTTACAAAACTGGGGTGGGGGTAGGAGGGCAAAAAATACTTTACGACCTCATACCTACCTACCAAATTATACAAAAAAAAATCATTAAAATCTGTCGAGCTGTTTCGGAGGAGTGCGACCACAAACACCGTGACACGAGATAGGTATTTATTATACCTACCTATTAGATTTATATTTTTGAAAAGCACGGTTTCTCGCATATTATGCGACTTCGAAAATATCTGATTAGATACCTATCTATTCTAAATGAAACCCCCCGTTTAGTTATTTTTTACATTTTAGCGCCTGGAAGTTGGTTTTTAAAAATTTATTTAATTTTTTTTACAATAATATTCTAAAAATATATATTTAATTTCATTTAATTGGTTTTTGATGTAAGTTAACAACATTACCTAGTCATATATGATATAAGTACTTTAAAGATACTTTAAAAAAGCTTACAATAAGACCGTAATTTTAGCTTTTTTTTACTGAAACCATATCATACTATGATAAAACTACGAAACTTAACTTTTTTTATATTTTTGTTGATTAGGTACTGCACTATATTGCTTAATGTTTAACTCTAAAATAACAACAATAAAGTAGCGACGAGTGTGATAAGGAAGCTATTGTCATTTATGATGTTTCATAGTCAGTCATCGCAAGAGATCACGGGTTCAAATTACACGTACAGAGTACAGACCAGGAAACGTACCTCAGACTAAGAAATAATAATTTAAACAGTGTCATGGAACTAAATAAGAAGCCAAACAATGATTCTAAATAATATGTAATATGTAATGTTTTTAAACAGAATCCAAATATTAATTGCTGTGACAAGTAGGTACCTAAAATCAAATGTTAATAAATAAAAATAGCTAACAGATTGTATTAGAATGAAGAAAAAAAATAAATAAGCTTATTCTTTGAAGAAAGTAAACAATAAATATTAGCATAATCGGCATATCACGCTACTATTTTTTGGCGGGCTCCGTATAAGTAATTCTTTAGTCTGAGATATTTAAGTATGTATAAAAAACATGTATGGCTCAGACTTTATATATGTAGCAATATACTCTATGGCTTAGACTGCTTATTACTATGTTACCTACTTTATCAGCGTGTTCCCTCCTATCTCTTTGCTATATGCTTTATGCAGTCGGGTTTTTCATTTTTATAAATTAACTAGCATTGCCCGGGGCTCCGCCCGCGTTCAGATGACCAAAAACGAAATTCTTAGGTTTTACATATTAGTATATATTACTCGATACTCTTACATTGTACTTTTTTTATTTTTTCTCAAAAATAAGATATTTTCCTGCGGTAAAAAGTATCCTATATGTTGACCCGGATAACGAGCTATAACCATACCAAATTTCATGAAAATCCTTTAAGTTTTTCTGTGATGCGGTAACAGACAGACAGACAAAAATTCTAAAAACTATAGATTCGGCCTCTGTATCGATAATAATGTCTATTTCAATAAGATTTTCAAAAAAATATTTAATGTACAGATTCTGTGTATATGTATAGATTTAAAATATATGTATAGATTGAAAATATTATTAAAGAAAAGTATCGAATTGTTTATGAAAACACTGTATGAAATCTATCCATTCTATCATGTTACGTTTATAAAATAAAAATATTGTAGAACGTGTAAATACATACTTTAATTATTGTTATGTAATGAATAAAAATTATATCGTTTATTTTGTTTTCTCAGTAAGAGTTATATTAACACTAAACAAATGAAATTGCTGCCCGTGTCGTCTAATATTCAAAGTAACTGCCATACAGTATATCAATCTATTGAGGCTTTCGCACTTTAGTATGTATGAAGCTCCCTGACCGGGACTAAATATGGGGGTTCCATAGGTCTGGCAATCAAACATAAAGTATGAACTTCCTATTTTCCCAAAAGCCAAATTCTTCGCTGGACTCATTAGTATTCCCATAGAATTCTGCTCAAAAAAGTACACCAAGGCCTTGCTTAAATTGAATCTATCGGGATAAATGTTATAAACAAACCCGAATATAATTTTATCAAATTTGACTGTGAACGAGAAGGGATACACATCAAATGTAGTATTCAAATCATCTAGAGTTATCTCGTGATTTTTGCTGCCAACAATTTTTTCATGGCATTTCTCGTGGTAAATATTACCACTTTCTACGATCCCATCCAATAAGCTACTGGTCCAGGCATTGAGATTACAAGCTTTAGTCATAACGAGTGCTATGACACAAGTCGCCAAATACTGTTTACCGCGGTATGCTTCATCGAATTTCGAATCTAAGGGATGTAGGGAACCCCATAGAGAATATAGATCCCCTGGAAATTCAATATCCCAGTCTCGCCACATTGTTTTTGGCGTTTTCCTTTCGAATCCCAAATCATTGACCACATTTAGTCTTGACCACGGTACGCTTTCGATTTTTAACCAATACATTTTTTCATCCACTATAGGACGTATTCTCTTTTGCTTCATATAAGGCAAGTTAGGATTGTCATCAGGTTTAAAGAGCGGACTCAATCTATAGTTTAGTGCTGAGTGTAGTGGCGCTGTCTTTATAGATGTTAGTTCAAAAGTGTAGAATTCTGGTGAATTAGGTTCTTTTACGACTTTTTTTATTCTATTTGCTAAAGAATCTAAAGACCTATACAGTGTCCATCCGGCAACATCTCCTACTTTTTTTTGCGATGGAACTGAAGATTCGGAACCCCTTTTCGTCTTTGCTTTGGATTCGGAGTCCAGTGGAGGTGGATATGGATCAAACAAATGATAATATCCATCAGTCTGACAAATCACCATACTACAAGAGTTAAATTTGATTATAACGAAGCGGAGCTTTTGTAGAACTGCCTTTAAGTATTGTTCCAAACGTTTAACTTTATTTTCATTAACCACAATTAGTTTCTTAATATTGACATTAACAAATTTACCATCTAGTATTACATTCTTGATGACTCTTTTCTCGCATACGCTAAGGTTGGTGGCTTTCGAATAAATTTCTAGTCCTTTTTCAATGCAAATGTCTACCATTTCGTGATCCCATGTTCTTATTGGATGCATAGTGGCCATTAACATTGTTATTAGACTAACAAAATGACACGGCTTTACGCTACCGCCTTTACCACCTTTAATATCTTGACCGTCGTTACTTTCTTTACCGTCTTTAGCATTTTTAACATTTTTACCTTCTGTACCGTCCTTTCTATCTTTTATTGTAGACGCCCCGCTTGACCTATCTTTCAATGAAGTGGTCCCTTCTATTCTATAAACCCCACCGAATTGTTGATACCCGACTACAGTTTCACTTTTCACTTCAGGTGTTTCAACTGAAGATTTCTTTTTTTCAGATGTCTTTGGTGAAGATTCAGCGAGAGAAAATTTAGATTTATTTGATTTTGGCATTCCAGTTTCGAAATCGTAATCTTCTGGTAACTTCATACGTGGTTCGATCAACAACCTTCGCACAACTATTCTGCTCAATATAAACTGTTGATCCCCTTTTCCATCTCTATTATATTGCACTCTGAAAATAGAAAATATAATATGAATATGAAGAAATGGATTTTTTTCAACAATAAACATATTGGCCTTACATATAAAAATAAAAAAAAATAAAAATTCACCTAGCAACAAGATCATGTAACGTATGAAATCGCATAAAGCAAGCTTTTCCTTTGCCATTCGCTTCTCTCATACCCATAGCATTGCAAGAACTCGCGTCATACAAATAGTAAAGATTGTTTCTTTTAAAGAAGGCACAACTGTAAGTAGCTGTTGTGATCATTCCTCTGTCATGCTTCACTAGAAATTTTCTGCCAAGAATATTTTCTAGCTGCCATGTAGCACCTTCCTCTACAACATCTATTTTAGCGTGGTAGGCCTGAAAAATAATATTTACATTACCAATAATCAACATATTTTTATTTTTGTCACTCGTATGTCGTTTCTTATTTTAAATTCTACTTAAGATATATCGATACACATGCTTTTGCCTGCAGCTCCAGTTGCATCTGGAGGTTTTAGTGATTAACCCATATAAACAAGAAAAAAATCAATTTCTATATTTTAATACAAATTGCCAATTAAATAGCTTCTGCTAAGAATACCAACTCGAATACTCTCGCAAACAGTTCATAGTATAGACATATAGATAGTATAGATATAGTATCTATGCATTAATAACTAACTTGATGTCCAATAGCAATTTTGGGTATAATATGAACCGGTGCAAATTGAAACTTCCCCAACTTATTCTCATATAACTTTTTCGCAGTTTCAACTACGAAGTTGACAATTCCCTCTGTCCACGTGTTCACGGTATACTTGTAGGAGGTCACAACCGCCATGATCGCTGCAAAAGGCAGTACATCTATAGTTTTTTCTGTAATGGCGGATGCACCACGTATTATCTGCGTATTATCCGGTAAATTCTTGAAATTGTTCGGTTTTGCGAGTTCTTCTTCAGCGGTTAGTTCTAAATTTGTTTCTATTAATGGCGTAGTCATTTTCTTGCGAAGATGACGCAATTTGAAGCGGTATTGAGCATCTTCTGCTAATAATATTTCACGTTTAACATTCACTGGTGGCAAGGTTTGAACTTCCTCTTCAATTATTTGTTCCGGTTGTGCCAACTGTAATATAATGATAATAATAAATAATATAATATATACATTTTACCAAACAAATAAATAAATAAATATAGGTTTATCTGATACACCTGTACAAGATTTGTCGATATAAAGTAACCTCTGTTTATCAAAGATAATCTATATTAAGTTACTTAGAATATCATTCAAATTTTTTGAGACGCCGAGTGGAAAAAAAAAATACACACAATAGTTAATGAAAAAAAAGCATTTAATGGCGGTGAACAGATCGCCTTTCAGCAAGTTACAGAAATACCTTCGGTCAACAAAGTCATTATTTTGCCTGAGTATAAGTATAATCAATGTATCCACAGACAAAAAAAATAAATAAAACGGCTACTCTAAACTGCTGTTGTTAGTTCCAGACACAGACACTAATTTAATTACCACAAAATATTAGTATGATCTCGATTTCGATTATTTCTTTCGATGGTTTTTGAAGAATGTAACCCTTCGTATCGTTATATTTGTGTAGTAACTATGTAATCCTATTAATAGTACTCTTTCCGACCTCTGTCTAAATAGTATTGTAAATGCATGCAACTAAATGTCATTAATGTATTATAATCTCACCGGTACTTCTGGTTCTGGTTGTGGAGATGGTGGTGGAGGGAGCGGAGGCGGCAGCTCTTCGGCTTTCCTGCGAGCGTCTTCTTCTTCCGCCTTTTTTCTTTCCAGTTCTTCTTTTTTTCTTTTTGCACTTTCTTCATCTTCCTCTTCTTCACCTTCTTCCTCCTATAATTGTATATTTTGTACTATGTACAGAAATACATAACTAATTAAAAAATACAAGAAGTGTTAGTTTAGAGTATAATTGCTGTCCAACTACAATTTACATCTGTACACATCATTTAATAGAGATCCCTTTCCTCAGTTTGTACGTGTGGATAATTCATAATACTTCATAACAAAAATGAAAAACGTAGGTATATTAATTATTAAATAAGACGATCTTTTCGAATTTTTTCGCGGATTTATTTTGATTTTTGGTTCCCGACGTTTCGAATGCTTTACAGCGATCATGGTCACGGGAGAGAAATAAATCCGCGAAAAAATCCGAAAAGATAGTCTTATTTAAAATGTCAAATATTCGCGTAATTGTAAGAAAACGTATATTACTAAATGTCTTTACATAATTATACATAATATCATTATTAGAAATATATATTAAAACATATAAAAACGGTAGAAAAACGATACTCACCTCTTCCGCACCATCCTCTGGTGGCTGCAAAATAAACATACATTTAGCATTTTTACAAAAATAAACTATAGTATACATACTGCACATATGTATATTAAATCTAAATATGTTCTTGTTCGTATATAGTATTTGTAACTGCGTCATGCGCTTGTAACAATGTGTACAGGCAGCGCTACCTTGTGTCACTACACACAGACACACGCATGTTTACTCACATACACAGAAACACAGCATACACCAACACATACACATTTTCGCATTTATATATATTTTTTAAATAATCATTAAAATCGGTTCACCAAAAGGAGGATGTATCTTCAATTCATTAGGTACCTCCTTATTTTAAAGTGAGTAAAACTAATACCGGCAAGGATGGCGGTGTGGGGGGCGGCGTGGGCTCCGGGTCGGGGTCGGGCTCGGGCGGCTCGCGCGCCTTGTCGCGCACGCGCGGCCACGGCGGCACCACTTGCGTCACCGATACCGTCGGCGAGTCCAGGTTCACTACCAACACGATTTTCCCATCACTCTTGGTGCACACCACGTTTTATAACGCGTCGGCGACGTACGTTATCACTAACATATGTCGAATCACGACTATACGTCATATTCTGACGCCGATAAAATTAAAAAAATTAAAATTGAATTAAAAAATGGATCTTTCGATTCGTATCGGTACAAACTCGCGGTAAGTGCGCGTCGATAGCGCGTTAAAAAGTCGTGGTGTGCATTGGGCTTCATGGCGCATTTAGTCAATATCTCGGTGAATACAACGTGATAAGCAGTGGCTGCTCAGGTGATGCAAAAACATCTCCCTCACATCCCGCTTACCGAAAAGGCCTCAACTAATATATCAATGTGAGTTTTCGAAAGACATGTGAAGTCTACCAACCCACACTTGGCTAGCGTGGTGGCCTATGGCCTGATTTATGTGCCCAGCAGTGGGATGTTTAAAAGGGCTGAATACAATATAAGCAATATTTCATAAAAGATTATCTCCACTTCCTCGAACTTATTGATCAGCAAATTACTATATACTGTAATATTACTAAAATATTAAATTCCACTAACGATGACGAAAAGAGAATAAATATAATCCACTAAGTCAAACAGTACAAACAGTAGGTATATAAAAATTTACCTATTTTTTCCTCGAAAGCTTCTGGAGGCAAATTTTTGTATCTTAATGGTATAGGTGGAAGGTAATCCTCTTGTATACTATCCACTAAGGAAATAATATCTCCCATTTGTTCTTCATCCATTTGTGGCTGAATTCAATATTAAAACAATAATTATGAGAACTAATACACTAACAAAAAAACGTGTGTGTATCCTTATGCTTGTAAAAGGAATGCAGCTAACTTCATCATGTCGCTTTTTGGCTGTCGGTGTGCGCGCGCATCGTAAAAATTTTACTCTCATATTTTTTTCTAAACGTGCCAAAAGAAGTATAACTTCATAAAAATTATTATGATCTCTCTAACTCCAGTAGTTAAAAGAAAAAACGTGAAGCAAAAAATATAATGTAACTATTGTTACATGTTATTAAATTACCATGTAAGCAATTACTAGTTTAAATTTAAATTATCAAAATGAATACAAAAATAAAGAACTGGTATGATTTAATTTTTGCGGACAGATTTACTTAATAATTTTTAGCCACGACAGTCAATTTCACTCAAATCAGTAATCTGCGAAAGAGATATCAAAGTGTACAGGTACATGCACAATGCACAAACACAAATACATGAACGTGCAGTAGAGGAGTAGGTATATATACCTTCACCCTTAAAAGAAGGCTAATCGGACATTACCAGAATGAGATCAAAACGGTTGGCAGGTTGTCAATCGAACACACACACACACACACATCACCACCACCACCATTAAGCTTAGATTGCTAATCCCTCAACGACCGCGGACACGCCGGCGTTACAGTTAACAATAGATTTCTTAGAAATTTACCTGGTGTTAAAGGAACTTTCTGATTGGAATTTCCATTAACACTTTGGGTCAAACCCACTGTAACATTGAATATACTATGTCTAGAAGTATGAAACCGGAATTTTTTTGTAAAAATTACAAGACTGTTGTTTGAAAATTGTAAGACATATTTTATTCAAAATAATTTCCATTGCTATGTATACATTTTTCCCACCTCTCCGGCAATTTATGAATGCCACGCCAAAAAAACAGTTCTTCTTTTGAAGCGAACCAGTTATCGAGCCATTTTCGCACATTTTCATACGAATTGAAGCGTTGTTCAGCGAGAGCGTGTCCCAGTGAAACGAATAGATGATAATCGGACGGGGCCAAGTCTGGAGAATAAGCCGCATGCGGTAAAATTTCCCAACTGAACGCCTCGATCGTTTCCCTGATCCGTTTTGCTGTGTGTGATGGGGCATTGTCATGGAGCAAAATGACATTGTGTTGTCTTTTTTCATATTCCGGTCGTTTTTCACGTAATGCTCGATTTAAATCAATCATTTGCTTTTGGTAGCGATCAGTGTTAACGGTTTCCCCAGGTTTTAACAGCTCATAATAGATTATACCTTTCTGACCCCACCAAACACAGAGCATTGTCTTCTTTCCAAAGTGATTTGGTCTTGCAGTGGATGTCGATGGTTCGCCTGGATTCACCCAAGATTTATGACGTTTAGGATTCTCGAAATATATCCATTTTTCATCACCTGTTACGATTCGATGGAGAAATGACTTTCTTTTGTATCTGTCAAGCAGCATTTCACAAGTGGTTTTTCGATTTTCTTGTTGCCTTTGATTCAGTTCATGCGGAACCCATTTTCCTACTTTCTGAATCTTTCCCATAGCTTTCAAACGAATGGATACTGCTTTTTGCGTCACATTCAATTGATCCGCGAGTTCTTTTTGAGATTGAGTATCATTTTCATTCAATAAAGCTTGCAATTCGTTGTCTGCGAACTTTTTCGTTGGTTTTCCACGCTCCTCGTTTCTCACGTCAAAATCACCACTTTTGAATTTTTTGAACCACTCAAAACACTGCGTTTTACCAAGAGCATGTTCACCGTAGGCTTCGACAAGCATTCGATGCGATTCTGCGGCAGTTTTCTTTAAATGATAACAGAAAACCAATGCTGTCCGCAAATCGTAGTTCGTAGGCACAAAACTCGACATGTTTAAGGTTATAGAAAAATATACCGGAGTATAGAATTTGGATTGTTGTGTGTTGAAAATCTTCGTCAGCTGTTAGAAGGAGATGATGGTGCTGCAGAAGCGGTCTTACGGTCCTTAAGCTGATGACTAGTACCATCTATAAGGAAATTCCGGTTTCATACTTCTACACCTATGTACTTACCCCGGATGCTGGTTGTTCAAAATCTTCCATTGCAAAAACATCGTGGTAGAGTTCTTTCGCATCCCCTTTAGCCCGACTCATAGATAGAATCTGTCTCTTTATTTTTTTACTACCGGGTAACTGTTCGTCGCTAAGAGTACATACTATTTGGGCCTATTTTGATAATTAAAAGTCTGTTTAATTATTTCTTTTTAAATCTAGGTATAGAGGTAATTGTGAATAACTAACGTACTTAACATTACCTTAGGTTCTTTCTTCTTTAACTTAAGAACTTTAAATGCATGAATATAAAACTGCGTAGTAGCCGGTAGATAATCCCAATTTTTTGTAAAAACTGCCGCAACGGTATCTGAATTTAAGAGCATCAAGCAACACGCCTTGCCAGCTTTAAATGATCTCAAACCATCATAAGTCCTTGGATAAGGATCAAATAAATAAAACATATCCTTTTGCCTCCATACAGCTAGCATGTAGTTGTTAAACTCGAGAATACCGCTGTTGTATTCGTGGCTAAAGAATTCTTCGAGTCCTGTAAGTATGTTCAATAAACACTCTTTCGTTGTAAATAATTGTCCTTTAACTCTTTCCCTATATATTATTATTTCACACGCATAAGGCCCAACTATAATTTCATTCGGTATGTTATCGATAGTCATATCAATCATAACTTTTGGGTGCAGACAGTCCATATAAAGTTTGTTGCCTAAGCGTAAAACTTTATCTAAAGTTTTAGAAAACCATGTATTAGGGGGTGAGATTTTCGCATAAGTCATTGCTACAATAGCTATTGGCAAAGCCTGGCGATATTGCGCGTCCTCGAAACATCTGTCACCTAAATGCATATTAGCATTTACGATCGCACAATTTTCATTTAGAATCCTGTAGCCCATCACAGCTTTTTCCGCTTGTGTTAGCTCTTTGTCGGAATCAAAATCTTCGTCACATGTTTCATCTACCATTTTTAAAACTTTAAGAGATGCTAGTACAAACTTTTGATCCTCTACAATGCTCCGTGCCAAGAGAACTTCAGCGACTGAGTTTAAATCTTTAACGTTTATAAGAGCAGCGCAACCGTTCGTGAAATTGGAATACGCTCTTGAATCTCTACCGGCTGGATCGAATATATAGTAGCATATTTTATCTTTCCATATTACGACTTTGAATACCCTAAGGTTTTTAAGTTCATTATTTTATTTTACTTAAAAATTAATAGACAACATATTTACAATTAAGATATTTACCTAGTCAATAAAATACCAGCACGATTATCCCTAAAAAAAGCTTTTAAACCGCGACAGAGATTGTAAACCGTTGGGTCTAAAGACATCGTGTACCCGACAATGTCCGGTTCTCCCAATAATATCTGCATTCGTTTCCCATTTAACAACAACGTTTGCTTTTTACCAAACGGTAGAACTTCGCACATTCCTTGTACCGCAGAATGATCGTGAACCTTTTCCAAGCATTGAATGTACCTGATACGCGAAATATTGCTTACTAACACTAACATTTGCCAAATATTACAAAAATATATAGAGGTATAAATGAAATTAAAAAACTTAAACAAAAAACACAGCATCATACTGCGTGAATTTACTTTTAAAAGAAGTTCACTTTTCTTATTTATGAGTTATGACTTACCATTGATCCCCAGCATCTACCAGATTATCGACCAATTTCATAGTCCATTGCTTAGGATGATAATGAAATGCCAAGCAATATGCCATTACACTCATTGTAAGAGCTTGTCTGCCTTTGGATCTAGCGCCTAAAAATTGGTGAAATATTCTAAATATGCTTTACTGAGTACGTAAAATGATTGAATTTGTTTCAAACTCGAGCTTATTGTACTTAAATATAAAATATGTTCTAAAATATAAGGCAAGAGACGTTTAATTTTTTATTGGTTATTTTGTATTGTACTTGAAACATACTAAAGTAGTTTATGTCGTAACTTACTGAATTTTGCATCATACATATTAAAAGACCCAGTTAGTATGCCATAGTGTATTTCCTGCCTGCGCTCTTTAGTACACGGCAACACTGTTAACGAATGTGTTTGTAAAGTACCACGCTTCAAATTTGCTGGTATTTGTACCTAGAAGAATAAAGTAATCTTTACAATTACGTATTATTTACAAAAGAGAAGAAGAGAAAGTTATATGGAGAACTTTCTGGAACAAAACTTAAAAATCATTTGTTTTTTTTTCTTATATATTATACATAGGTACGTTGGGCGCTGATTCTAAAGTCAGTATGAGGTACAAACTCTTTGGAACCGAAAAAAGTTAATGCCGTCATAGTTGATCATTTAAAATACTCACATGTTCCGGCCTCGGTATTTCATCCACACCACACACTGAATCGTCGTCTTTTATATGTTTCTGCGTTCCTCTGGCTCTTGGCTTTCCATCCGTTACTCCTATATTCGTGTAAGGCACTTCCGAAGAAAATCTAACAATATCTTTGTTAAATATACGAGCACGCACGCACGCACGCACGCACGCCCGCACGCACGCACGCACGCACGCACGCCCGCACGCACACACACACACACACACACACACACACACACACACACACACACACACACACACACACACACACACTACTAATTTTTTTGTTTTTAGTTTGTAATTAACGTGGATTACCTACTGCTAATTTGTGCATTAATGCATTAAAAAGTTATGTTCGGCTATGGAATAAATGTAAGACCGGGTTTAAAGGTTATACAGTACATAGGACACTTTTATAATATTCGAATAAAAACGTGCGAATTGCGAGATATTCATACGGTACATTTTTATTTATGTAAAAACGAACAATTAGAGTTTTCTTAAAGCAATCACCGAGCAGACGTTAAAGTTTATTCGATTTGGTTGACGAGTCCGATAAGTATCAGTTAAATTTATAACACTGAATAGGTACTATTATAGTTCTATGTACAATGTATGCCACTAGTCACATTTCGGGCTGTGAACCTAGTCAGGTAAATGGACATTTGACAAAATAATTTATAATATATACAAATACTCGTAAATCGTATTTTGGAACAGCTAAATATATATATTACGATTTGATACAAAAAAGAAATATATAGAATTATACCCTTTTTTTCTCCTTTTCATTTGGCGTTTTCTTAATGCTGCATATTTCCTGTTACGAGAAAAATAATCTAAGAAATCTAAAATTATTCCTTATATTGTTATGTTGAACGAACAACATTAATTTGCATATTTTTTACAAAAATAATCATATTAGTGTTTTTCCTATGGCATTTTTTACTTGACTAATATATTTTTAAAACTGTGAAATTCGAGTTAAGGCAATTCTATTATCAAATTTTGGAAATGCTTTAAGATCTTCTTTATAAATAAATAAATAAATAAATAAATAAATAAATAAATAAATAAATAAATAAATAAATAAATAAATAATTAAATAAATAATGGGAAAGAAAATATGTTTTTGATTATTAAATTAACAGCATAATAATTTGTATAGTATTGTATTTACCGACATTTCCTCCTGTGACATGTTTTTCTGTAACATATTCTGAAACCCAAAGAATAAATCAAAAACAGAATCATTAATGGCGGTCAATATACGTATTTCCCTAGTTACTGTTTTCGAACCTACAATAGGTAGGTACTACAAGCTTACAGTAATAGCTTAAATTATTTTATCGTATATATGTACATGGAACATCATACACTATTTTTTAAGTGAAAACTTCTATAGGCAGGTTTGGATGGAGAGTAAATTCATGAAAGACGTCATCGACATGGTCACGTGACTAACACTCAGAATGCCGATAGATGTCAAAACCAGATAAATGTAAACAGTTTTAATTTACAAATTTAAATTTAAGATCAAAAAAAATATTTTTATATCCAAAAATAACTACGGTTTGTTTATAGTTTTAAGTGTTCACTTCTGTCGGCAGTCCTAATGACTGCTTTTTATATACATATATATATATATATAAATATATATATATATTATATATATATGTATGTATATATATATATATAAATATATATTATATATATATATGTATGTATATATATTATATATATATATATGTATGTATGTATATATATATATATATACTATAATTATAATAACGTATGTTAATAATTTTGATCTATCAATAAAAGTATAAAATAATGTAATTTTAAATAAAACGATCTTTTCGGATTTTTTCGCGGACCTACATTTGCCTATAGGTTCCCGACATTTCGAATGCTTTACTATAAAATCATGGTCACGTGACGATAACCAACAATAAAAATAAATCCGCGAAAAAATCCAAAAAAAAACTTATTTAAAACGGTTTTTACTAACATTTAGAAAATTTCTTTCAGAACATTTATATGTAATGTACAAAACATACATACCTACTTACCGATTATATTTATTTGTATACTCTTTAGGTTTTTTACCGATTATATTGAATTGTAGATACTAACCCGCCTCTGTGACACGGCTTGTCTTTATCACTAAAAAAATAATGATTTTAAATTTGTTTCAAGGTTCAATATTTTTATAAATATTTTATAAATTCGCTAATGTTGTCATGTTCAGCCAAAAGAGCTGATTAAACTTAAATAAAACAGCTTACAAAAGTTTGGTAAATTTCTATATTAGGTAGATATAGGCATATATTATTTTCTTACATAACGGTTATAATAAATTAATCGTGATATGAATTATATACGTATAACCACAGATCATACATTACTTATACTAGTATAACGTAGCTGTGTAGAAGTATGACCTATAATATACCTATGATGTAGGTGAAATTAGAGGTCAAAGATATGAATGAATGTATTATAAGATCCTGAGCTTTTTTACCTTAAAATTTTTCTTGGTCCTGGCATAAACACAGCATCAGGAGCAAAATATTTTTCTTTATTGACAATAATACCACTGTGTGGTTTAAATAGGCTGTGAATGATAATTGAAAATATTAATATTTATCAATTACTTATTTAATTTAACATTGTAATTGTATGTATAATTTTGACTTTCGTATCTTACTCATATCCAGATTTTGGTGGCAATGGCGGTTTGTTTTCGCCTGGCTTGACAGCCGCTTTCTGAGCCTGTATTACTTCCCCGCTCGTTTTGGGGCTTGGCACCTATAATGTCATTTTAAAACTATAATTTATTATTAAATATTATTCAAAAATAAAACAATAGTTAAATTCGAATACTGGTCTTTACCATTCATTTCCGGAAACCAAATATTACATACATCTATGTAGATTTAAATACATATTAGTAAAAAGTTTATATAAACGTTAATCACCCATCTGGCATTTAAAGAAGCAAGCATTCGAGGTTAGAACAAATTTAAAAGCGTTGCGAGTAGGTAATAGTTACCTAATAATCATTTTATATGAGAATATTCATCATATTTTTAAAGTCCGCCAATAAAATAATACTTAATGAACATTAATTTATTAATGGCAGGTTAAGCGTGGCCAAAAAGAGAATTTATTGTACATTGTTAAGATGTACCTACAAATTTTACCTCTCAATAAAAACTTAAAAAAAAAAACGACTTCCGGGCACTAAAATGTAAAAAATAACTAAGCGGGGGTTTCCATTTAGAATATATACCTAATCAGATATTTTCGAAGTCGGGGCCAACTGCCAGTCGATGCAAAGCAAATCTAATATATTATTTCGATAAGTAAAATACATATTTATTATTTACCTATTAGATTATTCATATCTTAAAATAGGTATTGTCGGCTGGGACCGACTTCGAAAATATCTGATTAGGTATCTATTCTAATGAAAAAGCTCGTTTAGTTATTTTTTACTTTTTAATGCCTGGAAGTCGGTTTTTTTTTGTTTTTACTTTTCCATTTTTGATGTAGACGTAATAAGCAGGTAATTTGTAAGAAGAAAGTTTTTTAATAACATATTCGATTAAACAATTTATTAAAAAAAATGTTTTGTTGATTTTTTTAAAAACCGCTACACCGATTTCGATAAAATTTATATGGGACCACCTGGAAAGTATACCCTTTGAAACAAAAAAAAAACCAAATCGGTCCAGGTGTCATCGAGTAATCGGTAAACATATTTTTGAATTTGATGATGAATTGATAACCTCCTCCATTTGGAAGTCGGTTAAAAAAAGAGAAATTTAACACGTTATTAAAAAGATTTTCTAAATACATATTACCAATTAATATACTTATTCGTTTTGCCGGCGGATTTGTTATTGTTATTGTCCTGGGCGAATTCATATATGTAGTACTATTGTGTGTACCTAGGTGCTAAAATAAACTAATTATACTAGCAGAATTTTCCAAGAACTTCCGCAAACCGACAATTCATTGATGATGAAAAATATTGTGAAATAACATAAAGCTATTGTGTATAAGCTATTATAATAAAGAAATTGAGAAAAATGAAAATCTTATGAGTATTTGAGAAAAAGACTTCCCTCAGGGAAGAGGAAGCAGATTTAGCAAATCCCTTGATTTACAAAGTTTCGATACAAAATATTTATCGTATTAAATACTAACATTAAAAATAGATTTATCAGATGCGGTATGTTTTATGACAGGCGGAGGCACCGTGAAAGTAATATCGCCGGGTAATAAGTCGAAATATCGCACTTTCTTTTTCTTTTTATCCTTCTCACGGTCTTTCCTTAGAATTCCACCCGTTTCTTCTTCGGACGACGATTCAACATCAAGTCCAGAATACATTTGTCTAAATATTTATAAGTACTTTTAGAATAGGTACATATGTAGGTAGGTATATATTTTTTCAACAATAAAAAGTGTTTTATTATATAGGTAGGTACTTACCTCGATTTTAAATCAGTCCCTCCCAGTCCAGTCCTTCTTGGTGGTTCCCGTGAGCAGTGTCCGATATACCTTAACCTAAAATAATATTTATTATAAAAAAAAATATTGTAGTGGAAAAGGCAATTTGCGAATTTTAGACTAACCATTTCTACCACCTACTTGCTCATTAAAACTAACAAGAAATGAAGTGAAAGAGGCCCATATTTACTTATTGCTCTGAAGTTCTTTTTCACAGCACAATACATATTTAACAAAAACATAGGTACGCCTATTATCCTCACCTAGGATTTTTTCAAATGTTATATTGTATGTACCTACTCATAATAATCGCAGGTGCAGTTTCTTACCTTGTATGCATTGAAGGAGCCATTGGAATACACGTATCTTTATAATGATGAGGTTTGAACGGTTTTGTTTTAAAATGTGGCTGCCTTATTTTTCGGATCTTTTGTGAACCTGAGACAATATTTTTTAGATAATTAGTTTAAAGAAGGCACATTTACAGAAATATTTTCGTCAAAAGTAGGTAATGTTTTCTCAGTCAACAAGCTTCCTCTAACGAAAATTTTCGTCATATAACGTGAACCAGCCCAGTCTTGGACAGCCCACAGCGGCATGCAGCGCATAGGGCTGCCTGCTATTTTTTATTCCTTTAGTCGCAATTTTTTGCTAGTTTAAAGGAATTACCTATTTAATGATAGGTGAAAAGGTAAAGAAGATAATTTTAAGATCTACTCCTTTTGTAATGACTTCAAATCTCATTTTGAAACATGGAATAATCGATTATCCAGTTTTTGACCTCTTGAAGAATTGCGACGTGTACCTACATGAATTTACTTGAGACCTTTGAGCCACTTTTATATATTGTTTAGCAAGGTACAGACTTCAAATAGGTTGATATTTTTTTAGGATTATTGGACTTTTACGAAAAAAAGTATAACATCGACAAGTATCGATTCTATAGAACAAAGGTACCCCTTAATGCATTTATTATTATTTTTATATGAATATCCATTACTCGCTCGCATTAGAATGCGCTTGAACGAAGCAATGCCGGGTCTTTAGACGCTAGTGTATAAAGAAAATGGAAACTTACTTTTATCCTGGTCAGTTAGAGCTTCAATAATTTCTGCTATATCCTTACACTCGACAATTTTGGCATGCTTGCAAACCTGTTGTAATTTTGGGGGGCACTTACAAACCCTACAATAAGCCCCTATAGTAAGCTATTATGAAATAATAAAATGGAAATTAGACTAGCAGAAGTCGCGGCTTCGCCCGCGTTCAAAGTATGTACAAAAAAAAACTTTTCTTTACCTTCCCTTTACAATAACGTACGGAAGTCTGCCCGAATTGTTGACATTTATAATTACTTCTGCGCTCCCTTGGGTAGTAGCATGATGATATAATATATATAGCCTTCCTCAATAAACGGGCTATCTAACGCAAAAAGAATTAAAATTGGATTAGTAGTTCCTGAGATTAGCGCGTTCAAACAAACTCTGCCTATTTATATTAGTATAGATTGTGGTATGGCTTGTAGTATTGTTGATAAAATAAAAACAAACCCACGTTTGTTATATTGCGTAAAGCATACTGTTGTTATCAACGTAATATCGAGCTTACAACCAGAGCTGATTAAAAATTATCTACCGATTTATCATAATTAAGCAACAAATTCAATTTAATTATTAAGACGTAATTGATAATGTTATTAAATGTAGTGTTATTTTAAAATGCTCATTGTTGTAAAAATACATTTTATTTAATTCTGTTGAATATTACTCACCTTTTTTTACTGTCCATTTTATATTTGTTTCATTTAGTTTACAAATACTTATTACTTTAAATTTTTCAATATTTTTTCAAAAGTGAATTAAATTTGCTAGTAATAGTAGTCAAAATGGTCATGGTTGTCACAGATTAAATAAGTAATAGAATGAATATCAAATAGGTATATTATACTGAGATTATAAACTTTTTAGTGAAAAAAAAAAACTTAAGATTTAATCATTTAATGTACAATAATAAAAAGAAAAAAAAAACATTCATAGTCAAAGTAAAGGATTTGGTTTACCTCAATAAAAGTAATAATAATTAAAAGAAAATGTAACAATTTATAATGAGTCCCTAAATGATAGGCAAAGCAGGTTGGACTTATGTATATATTACAATTTAATTTTTTCATAATAATTCATAAGACAAGACTTTTAATGCTGCTTTAATTTGTGTTTTTTACATAATAAGTCACAAGTTAACTAAACATAGAGTTATGTAAGGTATCTATGTCTTCCTTCCTTTGCTCAGCCCTTTTCTTCTCTTTCTTGAAAGCTTCATATCGCTCATCATCTGTGACTAACTCAAAACGGCAAAATGGGCAAGAATTTGTCTGAAAAGATAAATTTTAACAATAAAGCTAGTTTTTACAAGTAAAATTATTTATGTAAGTTTCATCAGATGTTTCATAGGAATAAACAAATTAAAACTACTAACTAAAAGGTAAATAAAGTATTATAATTTATTTTCTTAAAACCTTACCTGATTAAGCCATGTAAGAATACATTTTTCATGAAAATGGTGTTCACATGGCATTTCTTTAGCCTTTTCATTTATATGAAAATTCTTCAAACATATTGGACAATTTATATCATCAGTCTTCACTATGATCTCCTTAAGATTCTTTACTGCATCTTTTGCAGCAGGAGGTGGTAGTCTGTAAATAATGGAGTGTAATCCATATAGATATTATAAAAGGAGAAGTACTTGTTAAAATGCTGGTCCTTCTTTCATGCAGTAACAGTATAATGTGATTTTCACAATGAGATATTTTCTGGGCTGGAATGTCTCATAGGATGCTATTTATTTTCAAAATTTCTGTTGCAAAAAGTTTAATAAGAACGCTAGTTCCTAATAATCATAAAAGAATTTGTAAATAAGTCAGTGTAGCTGCAATGAAACGACTTACTGTGTTTAAATTGCGTAATAAATAATATTCACATCATTTAAAAACAACAAATGAAAAATTACTTGCCTCGGCCACTGTCCTGATAAACTTTCCTCATAGATACCACAATCCATTAAGAATCTTGCCATATGCAGAAGATGATTTGGTTGTTCACCATTTTCTAGTTCTCTCCATCCCATTTCTTGAAAATAATCAGCCATTATACAGAAATGATACTCAAAAAATACGCCACTTAGGAATTTTACAATACAACTCCTTAATTTAATTTATAGGCCTATCTATAAATCAAATTTCAAATTTTTTTATAATTCAATTCAATTTTCTTGTTAATGGCTTCAACTTTTAATTTTTATGTACGTACATATTTAAGGACAAAAACACTAACAACGTCAATGTCAATTATCAATTTGATTTGATCAACTTAAAATTGCCTGTCACGTCATAAATCAATATTTATATTTTATCTAATTCAAGTCATGCAATAGACATAAGCTTTATAGGTTTCATAGTTTGGGAAAGAATTTTGCCTTTTTCTGCCTATAGATGTCGCGATCACTATGGCCATCATGGATGACAAATAATGATGGCCTGATGGCTAATGATTTAGCATCAGCCATATATTGTAAAGGTCTATAGTGTAGTAGTTTTTTTTTCATTTTATTTAAAACTAGCGACTTACACTCGCTTCGCTAGGGTTCGACACTCGCTTCGCTAGGGTTCGTCCCTAGCTTGATTTCCCATATAAACTTTCATCACCATTTTCACCCTCTTAAGGGATGATTTCCGGGATAAAAAGTGTCAAAAATACTATGTCCTTCCCAAGGTCTCAAACTATCTTCTTACAGAATTTCATCTAAATCGGTTCAGTAGATCCAGAGATTACCCCCAACAACGTCACAAACTCGCACACTTTACCTCTTTATAATATTAGTATACATTGAATTAATTAAAATGACAAATTGTGCAGTGCCAGGATACGAAGAAAATAGATATCATTTGTCCCTAAAAGACAAAAAATGAAAAAATATTGGTCTAAACTCTAGAGCAATAAGACAACCAAAATTGGCGAAATTACAATCTGTATATTTAAGGCTATCTGGATATAATTTTAAAGAAAATGATTTTAAAACTCTTAAATCGTTTACAGATCAGGATTTTTTGAAGTAAAAATTCTTTACGCACGCTTGACTTGGAGAGTAACCTGGTGAATGCGTGACGAAAAGTGTGATCGGGCGAGGCAAACGTTTGTTGGCATGGTAATCGTTGTTATTGTCTGACAAATGATATATAATATTATATTTTTTCCTTAAATGATATTCTATAAATATATGATTGTAATATGCCTAATATGCGTTATTTATTTTTATTAAAATTTATCATTCCTTTTACAAACAGAGAGTTGTGACATACGGGATAAAATCTTTAGCTATTTTGTTCTGTTACGCTAAAGAAGTACAACTTCTTACGTGCGTTCTTAAGTACACACACGCGCTTTTTACTAATAAAAATGAATACTTATTACTAATAGTTTTATAAAAAAAATGATATTTATATTTTGATTTGTTTTAATTTAATTGCGGTATCTACCACAGCATCATAGACTTGCAAAAAAGTTTTACTTCAATCGCACGTAAAGGTTACACTCACTCATATTTTTTTTGTACTTTTTTACATATTAATTACAGTTTCATATTTAATATTAAATTTCGAAAAATTCTAAAACACGTATTTATTTAATTGTATTGAAGAGCAATAATACCAAGTTTCAAGTGATTTTGATCATGCATAATTCTTTGCTCATATGAACTTTATTACTTTATTTTACCCCCATTTTACCCTTTAAGAGACGAATTTCGAAAAAAACATAGGTAATAAATGTATTTCTTATTTTTTATCTTAAAGGTAAACACCACTTTCTGTGTATTTCACATTAAGAATGACAGAGTTTCATACAATCTTTGATCCCCAATATTACCCACTTAGGGAATGAATATCGAAAAACTTCTTTTTATCGGATGCCTATATCATTTAAGGAAACGTTCTTAAAATTTTACGTTTCTACGATTTCTGTGTGTTGATCCATCAGTCAGTCAGGACCACCGCAGAATGCACTTCTCCTTCTCAATTCTTCCTTTAGCTGGTCTAATTTCCAGGTACAATATATTGCTCAGGTAAGATGCGAACACAATAAAAGCAAAAAACCAGGTTTAAAAGAGATATCACGATAAACTTCTTAACCTCAAATTGAATGTAAATAGGCAAGGCGTGTGTGTGGCCTTTAAAGAAATCTTTCCTATTGTCTTCAGGTTTATTTTATTTATTTACAATCACTTACAATAATACACACAATATAAAAAAAAATACAACTAAAAATTAGGAACTAAATGTAATGATTACTTACAAATAAACACAGCATGCACAGAAATAAAGTTTCTTAAAATATTATACAAAATAGATATATTTTAGAAGTAAATAGTTTTTTTTAATTAATCAATGAGCAGATACACAGTTACATTTATTTAGCAATTATAACATTATTTAAGACTATCAATGCATTTATTTAGGAATTTGGTGCTAATGGTTTTGCGGAAATTGGCTAAGGAATCAGCAAATATGCGGTTCAAGTAAGTACGAGTATATTTATATGAATAAAGGAATTAAATATTTATAATTAAAAACTCAGGATATACTAAACTTATCACGATTCGTTTTTCAATTTTTCATTTTTTCGGGTTTTATTTGTTTGTTTGTTTATTGAAGTGTGTGTTTAGCCTTATAATAATTTTGAAAGTGTTTAGCCTTATAAAAAGAGCTAAAATATTTGTTACCTACCCAATAGAAACATTAATTATGTGTATCATATTATTATTGTGAGGTCTCTAGAAAACTTAAAAAAATATGGGTGTAGATCTACCAACTTTTCAAAGAGGAAGACTAGAAACCTATTTTACCAACTTTTGAAATCATATCTACCTCCGACACAAACTTCGAGTTGGTAACATTGAGGAGGTGCACCGTGCAAGATTCGTCGAACAGCAAGCTTCAAACTTGAGCCTCCAAGAGTCCAAATGACATGGGCGTTATCATCAGGCATGTAGCCATGTAGTGTTTGGTGCGCTCAGCGCCTTCATGTTTTAATCTAAAACACATTCTAGCTCCTCAATGGATGCGAGGGTAATTCGAAACGAGATAGTCATTCCTCTATATCCTGGATATTATATAGGTTAATGGTTATACCTACGCGTATATTATGCTACTTATGATGTACGATGCGAGCGGAGACGCACACAAAAATTTGCTGAATACATTTTAATAGTTTATTTTATAACTAGCAATGCCCGCGGCTCCGCCCGCGTTCAGATGACCAAAAACCAAATTCTTAGGTTTTCCATATTAATATACCTACTTGCAATTTTTGTATTTTTTCTCAGAAATGAGATATTTTCCCGCCGTAAAAAGTAGGTATCCTATATGTTGACCCGGATAACCAGCTATCACCATACCAAATTTCATCATAATCCCTCCAGTGGTTTATAAAAAAAAATATTCAATTAACGTAATGCTATCGAACTCTGTAAAAAAAGCTTTATTTTTAGTAGATTCCATTAGTTTTTATTTTATTGCTAAAACCATGTAACAGATAAATATAAAAGTAGACTTTTCGTTGCTAGCTTATCTTTATTTGTCATCCATAGCTCTTATTCAATATTTTCTGGATTATTGTTTTGTTTCTTTTTTTGTCTCGAAAAAGCCATTACCAAATTACCAAAACCAAACGCTGAAATATTGCGTTGCCCTAATACGAAATAATTATAAAGCTTTACCAAAATAATTGGCAGCTTCAATGTTTGTAACTATTTACAACTCTTAAAAAAGTCACCAAAGTTTTATTTTGTTCACACTGAATTTATGTGAGCCTTCAACAAATTGAGGAGCTTTTCAGTTGACAACTAGCTGTCTCCACCAATACCATTTAATTGTGTAGATACTTTTATGCACGCAGCAATTATAATTTATATAGCCAAACAAAATGCAAACATACATTTGGCTATGGCCATGAAGGAATACAATAGAGTAAATACTCGGAGAAAATGTGACTTGTAGACTGTAGTTGTTACTGTTGTTATACTTGTTAGTTGTTGTTAGCAACGTTTTGAAAGTGGACAAAATAGCTTCATTATGATTGTTGTTTTGTTTTAATTAATGTTAACACATGAATTTGCGGTAACTTGCAAGTAGATAAGCTTACACAGGTCAATTAAATATTTGCAATTGCGTATCTTTTGTAATTTATCGTCTTAAACTGAAATACGATCTTTGTTATTTTTTAATTTTTGTATATAATTTAAAGGATTTATTCGGTATTGGATCGCTTCAATTTTCAACTCAAATGGGATTTATTGGATTATAGATATTTTAGATCAATTAAACTCGGATTTCCTTATTAAATGTACAAGAATACGTGATGACAACACCGAAGTTTTACTAAAATACTCGTTTACAACCGCTTAGGTACTCACGTGCCCGTGAGTCACTTCCAGTTGTTTGTTTTGCATGAAATAGTTTCACATTCGAAGTCAAGCTGCAGTTGAATCGTAGTCAGTCTCACAAGCAGACGGAAACCAGCTAGTGACGCTCGTCGAACGCGTTATTTGTGTTGTGAATCGGACATACAGAAACCGGTAAGGCTAAGTTTACGCGCCTACATTTAAATTGACAGGATTAAATAAACATGTCTTGTTTTTTAATGATTAAATTTAGATAATAACTTCACAAAAATAATAATTAACACTAAATGATGTCATCAGAAGTGATAATTTTAATCAGGCCAGCTTGTTTAACCGCAAGGTTCGTAGTTGTAATTTATATTGCTGCCTTCGTCGTAGTAAAGATAACGGATAGCATCATTAAAATACGTTTATAGGCTAGGTAGCCATTTCTATTCCGGTTGTATATATTAGTTTTATTTATTATAAAACCAATTTATCTAGGTATTACATAAGTATACGTACATACGAGTTGTGTTCTACGGGCATTCGAAGAGATGTTGCAAAAGTAGTAATAAAATTCAATTTTCATAATAAATCATACTTTTGGGTATATTTAAATAAGGCAATTTTTTACGCTGTAATATGTAGATAATAAAAAAATATTCAAAAGGTTAGTGAACCTAAGACCC